AAAAAAGTTTATTTCACTCTTAGGGACTGCAACCTTAGGGACTGCCTGTCATCCTCCAAACAAGCAGGACTGTTTGCAGGTCTGTTTTACAACAGTCTGAAATAACTCCAGATGCCTTCAACACATTCATAAAAACAACCTCTAATTAAAAAAAAAATTCAATTTGTATTTATTTTTCTGCTGTCAAGCACTAAAAAGACATCTTGCCAGCCAGTTAAACTGACACACCATGAATTTTCCCCAGATCAATTCAGAACGTAAAGAATGAGTGGTATGGGTTTTCTAGGAAAAATTTCTGATTCGAATATGTAATTTAAACATTTAAATAATGTTTGCAAATTTTAAATAATGTTAGCAAAAGAAGGCAAACACACCATGTACAAACACTGGGGTTTGCCCACATTTAGCTTCATATCCCAAATTTAGTGCATTTATCATGACTGATATGCAGCACAACAGCCATCCCAACTATAGATAAACAGATTATATTTACATATGCAGGACATAATTTTTTTTGCCCCAGATTACTGGTTAAAGCAGACTGGGACTAATAATGGTTTAATTGTTACCTGTCTGAAAAAGCAAAGACAGAGCAGTTCACACCAATTCCATTTAAACAGAGACAGCAGCAAAACAAGCACACTTTGGGGTCAAACCAGCACTTCTTACAGCTGCTTCTCATTAAGGGACACAATACATGTATGAGCACTCAAAATGCAGTCTTTCACATGTGAAGAAAAAAGGATTCTCCGGCATAAGTACAACTTCAGATAACATTTTTCCATCTCAGATGTCAAAAATGAACTCAAAAGAAGAATCCAATGTTTCTGTCCATTAATATTTCACTAGCCCTTAACATAGAAAAAAAATCACTGCAAACATCCATTAGCTCTAGAAACAGGCAGCAAAATCCTGCATTCTCAAGGATTTGCTGCAAACAACCAATGCTTCAAGACTGAGTAAATTCCTTCCCACATCTAAACACACAAGAGCCAACCTCTTGGTTATCCTGATCTTATATTTTACAGTCTGTTCTTCTTACATATCACAGCCTATTGACTTACAATTTCTATCCATCTTTAAATTATAACAAGTAAGGGCACATTTCACGCACTTGACAAAGTAGTATTCATTCCACATAACCTTATGACATATGGCCTACCGAATCCAATCAGTGGTCTACCTAATCCAGCAACCTGCTTCACACGGCAGTCAGTTGGCGGGGGGGGCGGCGGGGGGGAGAGCAAACAAGACAGAGGCCGAGACCTTCCCCCGATGCAGTCTGTGATCATGAAGGCTCCTTTCAGTCACCATAGCTGACAACTACGGATGGGCCTGGCCGCCATAAATCCATCTAATCCCCCTTTCATGCCTGTTGGGCTCTCAGGACATCCTTTCTTGCGAGGACTACTCTTCTCTTCCTATTAATGACCCTCCAGCCGACCTGCCCAAAGCCTCCCAAGCTCCTTCAGGAGCCCCAACCACAAGCCGCCCCTTAGGCAGATGCTGCGTTCCAGCCGCTCCTCCTCACGAAGCATCTTGGGTCGCTCGAGCGGCCACGTGAACTTTTCCCGGCCGGCCGAGACTCGCTCCGCCCGGGCCACTTCCACTCACCGTCTTCTTGGCGGCCACCATCCTTGCGGCTCAGGTCGGGCCGGCCGTTTCCTGAGAAAAAGAGGAAGAGGAGTTAACAGACATCGAGCTACAGCCTGACAGTCCCACGCCCCTCTACCAACTCCGGAGACCCACTCACCAGAAAAGCGCCTCCAAGATGGCCGGGGAACGAGGAAAGGAAGGAGCTCCCACAATGCAACGCGCCTAACCACGCGGCTCACTCACGGCGAACAGCTACGCTCGCGAGAAGAGAATAGGCTGCCCTCCCTTTCTAAAAGTTCCATCGAGGTGAGCATGCGCACAGGAGATCAGTAGTGATGGAACTGAGGATCGGAGGTTGGCGTTGCAACATTCTTCCAGAGCGGTAGAGGACAGGAGGGCGTGCTCATTCGGCTTCTGTTCTGTATATGGTGGTGTCCACTAGGTGGACATAAAAGCTCCATGTATCCTCTTTTATTCCTCTCCGGAGGAGCCAATTTAAATTAGCCCTTTCAGCCGTACCTTAAAAACTAAAATTCAAGTGGGCAGCCCTATAAGTCTGAAGCAGCAGAAAGGGGCACCTTTAAGACCATGCACACGAGAGCTTATACCCAGAATTAAACTTCGTTGGTCTTAAAAGTACCACTAGACTCAAACTTTGTTCTTAAAAGCTAATACTGTTGTTGTTTTTAACTCAAGTAACATTGTTCCACTGTAGGCTTTTGCGAACTTTTTGCCTTAAATAATGTTTTTTACTTTTAAGTGTTAAATAATTTACCAAAACTTGAAAGTCCTCCACTCATTACTGGTGTTAACTAGTTTAGCATAGCTACTGTTTTTATTTATTAAATCTTTATATTCCACCTGCATGCCTCATGTGTTTCATGACTTTTTAGATCCTTCTATTGCTGTTTTTTCTATGCCTCTTACATAAAAAGGAATAGCTCCTAGGTAGCAGCCACTCATTGCATCTGGAGAAGGAAGAAAACATTGTTGGTTTTTACAGTGCCACAAGAGTCCTGTCCCTCACCTCCTACATTTTGGTGTTTGCTTTTCATGACCTGACCACCATCCATCTCTCTGACAGTTCATCTGACAGTGTATATTAATAGTTCAACATTCCTTTCATCAGCTTTTGCTGGTGAGCCATCAGTGGCCCTTGATGGGCAGGAAAGATCTTGTCCCTGTGATACATGTCCTGCTAACATCTAGGTTAGATTACTGTAAGGTGCTGTACAGAGGGCTGCCCTTGAAGACTGTCCTGAAGCTACAGTTGGTACAGAATGCTGCAGCCAGAGTGTTGACACTAGTGGGTAGTAGGACCATAGAACTCCAGTCTTTTTCTATCTACACTAGCTCCCAGTTTGGTTCTGCACCCAATTCAGACTTCTGGTATTGACCTTTAAAGCCCTACAGCTTGGGGCCAGCATACCTTAAGGACTGCCTTCTTCCATATGAACCTACCCAGCCACTCCTGTTATCTTCAGAGGCCCTGCTTCGAGTGACCCAGCCATCTGAGATAGACAGGTGGCAATCTGAAAAAGGGCCTTCTTGGTTATGGCACCAAAACTTTGGAACTCGCCCCCAGTGAGATTTGTTTGTCTCCCCCTATCACTGTCTATTGCCAGTGGGTGAAGACTTAAACTGTTGCTGGCCCTCCACACCGGTTTTGGTGGTATGTCTTTATATGTTTTTATTGAACTACCCTTATACCTCAGACAGGTACATTGGCCCATCAACCGCCACCCAAGAGT